ATGTTGGTTAAATTTTTATCAAATATCAATGTGGCTGAACCATAGTTGTCGGACCAGAAAAATCGGGAATCAGTCAAGTGACCAATTATGTTTTACCCCAGAACCATCATTTCCCCCAAAACCATATATTTGGTTAGCAAACCACTAACCCAGGTGGTCGAACCATTCAACGGTTTGGCCAGTTTTTTTTATTTTTTATTTTTTTGTCAAAATGGGTCATTTGTTCGGTTCGAACGGTCGGACTGTTCGACCTAAGAACCAGACCCCTGACTAGTTCGTTGTCTGTGTCGATTTTAAAAACCTTGGGCCAAACAATTCTCACATTAATGGCTCTTCATTGAACACACTAATTTTTATTTCCTAATTTACCCCTATTAATAACACAAATTTATTATCTCATCTCATTATTTTTCATTTTTCATCATTATTAAAAATGAAAATGATCAATGGTTCTTCGTTGAACACCCTGATTTTTATTTCCAAATTTACTCCTATTAATAATACAAAACAACCAAACTAACATATACCCCATTATTTAAAAATTTTAAAAATAAGAAAATGATCATTTTTTTTGTAGAACACCTTGATTTTTATTTACAAATTTACCCCTATTAATAATACAACTTTGAATGGGTTAACAACCAATCTAGCAAATTCACATGTTTCTATTTTACCCTTATATACAAGAGAGACAAGTGCCCTAAAAAGATGAATACGTGGACATCCAAATTCTCCACGTAATGGTTACCCTATTAAGGTAGTCATAATGTTGGTTAAATTTTTATCAAATATCAATGTGGTTGAACCATGGTTATTGGACTGGAAAAATCAGGAATCAGTTAAGTGACTGGTTCAGTTTTACCCCATAACCGTTATTTCCCCCAAAACCATATATTTGGTTAGCAAACCGCTAACCTAGGCGGTCGAACTATTCAACGGTTTGGCTGGTTTTTATTTTTTTTTGTCAGAATGGGTCGCTCATTCGGTTTGAACGGTCAGACCGTTTGACCTGGGAACTAGACCACTAACCGGTTCATTGTTCAAGTTGATTTTAAAAACCTTGGGCTAAACAACTCTCACATTACTCTGGATTATTTTCATGATATTAAATGGAATCAAATCATCATGATAAGTTCAAAATTTTTCCTTTAAGGATAAACTTTTAATTGATAAGTTGAGTGGATGTATTTCCCCATTTTTAACAAAAATGTGATCATATTTATAAAAGTCCTCCAAATTTGAATCTAAACAGGGGTGTAGTATGTTATAGGATTTGAATGCTATTTCGTTTTATTTGGATACACAATCAATTTAGAATCCAAAATAAGAGTTCACTCAACAAAGTAGCCCCAAAACCATAGATTTGGTCAGTAAACCGCTGACCCGGGCGGTCAAACCGTTCAAACCATTCAACGGTTTGGTCGTTTTTTTTGTCATAACGGGTCATTCGTTCGATTCGAACGGTTTAACCGTTTGACCTGGGAACTGGACCCCTGATCGGTTCGTTGTCCGGGTTGGTTTTAAAAACCTTGGGCTGAACAACTCTCACATTACTATGGATTGTTTCATGATATTAAATGGAATCAAATCATCATGATAAGTTCAAAATTTCTCCTTCAAGGATAAACTTAATTGATAAGTTGAATCAATGTATCTCCCCATTTTTAATAAAAATGTGATCATATTTATAAAAATCCTCTAAATTTGAACTTAAATAGGGGTGTAGTATGTTATAGGATTTGAATGCTATTTCATTTTACTTGGGTACACAATCAATTTAGAATCCAAAATAAGAGTTCACTCAACAAGTAGCCCCAAAACAATAGATTTGGTCAGCAAACCGCTGACTCGGGCGGTCAAACCATTCGAACCATTCAACAGTTTGGCCATTTTTTTATTTTTTTTATTTTTTTGTCAGAACTGGTCGTTCATTCGGTTCGAACGGTCAGACCGTTCGACTCAGGAACTGGACCCTTGATCAGTTCATTGTCCGGGTCAATTTTAAAAACCTTGGGCTAAACAACTCTATAATTACTCTGGATTGTTTTCATGACATTAAATGGAACCGAATCATCATGATAAGTTCAAAATTTCTCCTTCGAGGATAAACTTAATTGATAAGTTGAATGGATGTATCTCCTAGGGTTGTTCATAACAAGACCCAAACCGACCAACCCGAACCGACTTAGATATATATTATATATATAATATTTCAGATATTATATATATATATAACAAGACCCAAACCGACCAACCCGAACCGACTTAGATATATATTATATATATAATATTTCAGATATTATATATATATATATCTGATATATTTCAGTTTTACTATATATATATTTTAGATATATATTTGTGGATATATATATATATATATTTTAGCTTTATTTCAGAAATATACATATTATATATAAAATATCAGTTTTAATCCATCAAATCATTTTTAATTTCCAGGCATCCAGCCTTTGCGTTCTTAGACTTGAATCCTTTACCGTTCACATCGAGAGAATCATTCACAAAATCGACCCAAACCGATTCAAACCAACCAGGTCGGTTTTACTTAGTACTGGGTCGGTTTCGGTTTCATTTCTAGGTAAACCGACCAGGCCGGGTCGGTTGGAAAAACGCCAGTAAACCGACCCAACCCGCCCCATGAACAGCCCTGGTATCTCCCAATTTTTAATAAAAATGTGATCATATTTATAAAAATCCTCCAAATTTGAACCTATATAGGCGTGTAGTATGTTATAGGATTTTAGTGCTATTTCATTTTATTTGGATACACAATCAATTTACGATCCAAAATAAGAGTTCACTCAACAAAGTAGTTGTTTATTATTATTTTTTTAATTTTGTCTAAAATTCTAAATTTTGATTGAACTTGCACTCTTTTTTGGTTTCTCTTTTATGCTTATTTTTTTGGTTGATTTGTTTTGGGTGTATAGCAGTTTATATGAAGAGAAAGGTGATTATACAACCCTATAACTTGCAATTGAGATAGTGGTTCRACTCTTCACTTTTAAACATCTTTGGGAAGACTACTATTTCTGTTTTGACATGGCCATTTTGGGCCTGTCTATAAGGAATGCTTTCGGATGGAAGGAACACCGCTATTAAATTTATAAATCAAACAAAAAAACAAGAAGAGGAGTTTAATTTTTTTTTTTTTTTTT